ATTTTCGTCCTCTTCAGTAGCATCCCCTACCGGTAATTTTTCAAAAAGTTTCTCCTGTTGTGTGGAATTATAGCTTGCAGGTTATTCAGCAAATTTTGCTTTCTCCCTTGACTTATTCTTTGGTTAGATGTTTGTGAAGATGGAAGTGTCACACCAGTTTTAAATGCACCTGCAGTGAAAAAGTTCAGTTCTGTCAAATCTTCTGTGTATTAATAGTTTTTATATTTTAACGTTTTCTTGTCCCTCTTAAAAATTATGAGCGAAATATTATTAAGATAGCAACTTTTGTAATTTGTATTTTAAACTGAAATATGTTCACTTATAGAAATTTCCAATCTCTAATGTTTCAACATTGGTCTGTTTTGTTGAATTTAGAACACATTGAACATGGAAAAATCCCAGTTTTGGCCCTCCTTAATGATTTTTCTACCAGGTGGTGAAAATGGTCCGCAGATATAAACGTGTGTCGGCTTTCAAAATATTTTATGGTTAATTGTTTTAAGTTACCTTCTGAAGCATTTACTATATAGACAAGAAAGCTGAACAAACACTGATTTTTGTTCTGTGCCGAGCTATTATCCAGCCAAATTGTTATGAATTCTTTATCCCTGTAGAATTAGGAAGAATATGTAGAAAGTAGAGACTATATCTTCTTTTTTTCTTCCTTACATTCCTTCATACCAAAAAATTTCTAAAGCACGGACGATCCTATCTTTCCAGACAGCCATAAAACTTTCGTTAAAAGCAATTAAGCGCCTAATAAAGTGACTGTTTTATATATGTGTATCTGCTATGGGAAGCATTATCACGTTTTGAAGATCTACTGAAACTGAGATCTGGTGATTTTAGTTGCGATTCCCATCTCTTTCGTACTCTTTCCTGACAGGAATATATTTATTTCTGTGAGATACATAGTTTTCACACACTACACAATTGTCTGGTGGATTAATATAGTTGGTTTCGGTCTTAAAGAGATCATATGATGCACATTAGAAACACTCTTCACAGCCAAATTGTGCAACTCAACGATGTGTTTAGTTTTGCAATTGCCTGACGATAGAGCTCATAATCACCCTGATAATCGGGATTCTTTCTTATGTAGTCATTGTAATTGAAATATCCGATGGTAGGTATATACGATTGGAGCATGCTTCCGACGATAATGAGATACGGTAGGTCGAAAATACTTTATAATATATTCAACGATCGGTTGGGTGTTTGTCAATATAATTCAGAGCAGGTCGATGCCTTCGTGCCTTGGTGTTATTGAGGAAGAATAGCATTATTATTATAAGTTCCTCTAATATTTTTTAAAAATCGAGCATTACTTTTGTCATAGACTAACATGGCGAGGAAAAGAGTTTTACATACTTGCATATCTAATTCGTTAGCATCCCGTAGGTAATATTTGTACGAATATTTGCGACGCGAATCAGTTCCAACAGTAGTTTTTCTTTTGTTTAGTTGTTTAACATTACCGCGCACACACAAACGTTAAGCTTGCTTGTTAAGTTACCAATGCTGCTTGTTAGTATCTTTTCGTCTCACTTCATTTATCACTTCTGAATGCTTCAGTATGCAAGTGTTTTTATTACAGGACCTTTTATTTGGTAGTTACTACCGACTAATGATAATTTCTGCTTTTTTTCTGCAGGTGCTTTCTCATTTTTTGTTATCTTTCTAATTGTTCTCTTTTTGGGATACATCTTACAGTGATTGTTTTCAGCAATTACTATGAACGAAGTAACCATGTAGTCGACCATAGACTTCACTAATCGATAAACAGACGCATCTTGTTCGAACTTTCATTATCAGACATAGTTAGAGTATAGAGCCCTTTTTATCACTGATACAGCCTTCTTCTGCCGACTAGAACTCGCTACACAAATCGTCTTGCTTTTGATCGCAGTCGGGATCATTGTACATTTGTATTGTATATACATTGGTATTGACAAGCTTTTTATTTGCATGTAGGCATTCTCTTAATTGTCTATTTAAGGCAAGATGTTAGTCAATTTAATTTGAGTCTTCTTCTTCTCGACTGGCTCTACAACTCAAAGTGTATCTTTGTACGATTGTTATCTTCTACGATCATTCGCTTTCATTTCCCATTGCTGTACCCTTATAAGCTTCAACATTGCCCTTCCATCTTTTTCAGGGACGGCCTACTAATCTCCTACCGTCTGGTCTCTCAATAAACACTGCCTTTAGCACTCTGTCTTCCTCTGATCTTACCACATGACATGTCCATCTTATCCTCTTATATTTTATATGCCTGACAATGTTTTCAGTACCATAGAGAGCCACCAATTTAGCATTGCATCGCATTCTCCATTCTCCCGTCAATTCATCATTTTGGGGTCTAAATATCATCCTAAGAACCTTCCTTTTAAAACTAGCAGCTTATTTATTTCCCGCTAATTTAGAGTCCATGTTTTACTTCCATATGTAACAATGTATCAGTGTCATTTTTTCACGTGGTCAATAAACCTAGCAAGTTAGAACAAGATGCAGGGACTGCTTTGTGTTAGGTTTCTTTGTTGGAAAGGAGGAACAGGCTCGTATTGCAACGATAAGTCTATCTTGTATTATATGTCTATGAGTGCATCGCTGAATATGTTCTATCTGTTATCTAGAATGTGCTAGATTTTGGGTAGCATAACATATTGCAATACGCAATGTCCTATCTGTTACAATAGGACACTTTAAGTTTGTAAAGATCAGATAGAACGTAATGCTTAGTAATCAGGTTTTAGTTTTAACATTATACACTAAGCATCACAGAGTAGCCCTTAAATGATAGGTAGGACAGCTCAGGTTTAAAAGGAAGGTAAAGAATGTTTTCGCTACCACCCAGTACAGTTAGGACCAAAACTGCAATTTTGTTAGTTAGAACCTTTCAGCTTAGCAGGACAGTGTACTTGTGTAAGGAACAGATGTGTGGACAATAAAAGTAACAAGCATAAACAGAATTAAAGCATTACAAATGTGGATTCAGAAACGTACGCTGAAGATCCCTTGGACGAGACGAATAAGTACTGAGCAGGGTCAACAAAAATAGAGGATTGCTAAACACTGTTAAATACCCAAAAATGTCTTATTTGGGACATATGGTAAGGGTAAATTAACTGATATTTAAAGACGAAATAGACAACCGTAGAGGTAAAGGAAGGAAACAGGTTTCTTTCTTAAAAAACATTCAGAAATGGACTTGGATATTATATGCAGGACAATTGTTCCAAATGGCAGAAGATCGCAAAGCCTTTGCAATGGTGCAACATCGATTCCTCGAGCCAGAGATCCTTTGATGGTATGATGTTGCTTTCCGGATGTAATAATCTTAATAACACCATTGGTGCATAAATAACTATTATACCATTGCTTTTTAATTGATAATGAAGCGCGTATGGCAGGGCGGGCGCTTATTTGTACAATGAGAATTTAAACCACCAAAAATTTGTGCTCTAGATATTGTTTCTCGCTCTTACACACGCCGCAGACCGATCACCTCTCCTGTTATAAGTGTTTTATTAACGATTAGAAACAATGTTTTAAAATTTTTAACTTTAATTTAGTTCCTTGGTAAATTTAAAAATAATGTTATTTACTTGCGTAGGTCTTGAAAATCGAAATTTTACGTTTTTCTCAGTTTTAAATTATTTATACTTAGAAAACAATCAGGTTCAATGTACAACTACAGCATACTTATTTTGTTCAGAATGATCTAAAAAATAAAAAAAAATTATGCGGGAAATAACTGATCACTACAATTTGTTTAAAAAATTTGAACAACTTTTCGTCTGAGCGACCTCTTGAACCTTATTTTGGGTTTTTTTTATAATTACTTATATATTCCTATACCGAAATTACTGCTCGTTATAAAGAGACCAATTTTGACAAAAAGTGATATAAAAAAAGGTAAATTAATAATTACTTTGATGTTTCTTACTCCTTCTTATGTTTCCTTTCTTCTATTCACGGGCGACAAAATTTATCCCTAGAACTTGGTTGAAGGATCTTGTACCAAACTGTGTCTTTTGATTAAGATCTACCAAGATATTCTGAGCACTAGACAAAAGTCCGCAATTTTCGTATGGGAAGTTGATAGATTTGTTCGGCCTACACAAGTAAGATCTACAAAAGGTAAAAGTTCTAAATTTTAGTATCTGTTATGCTCATAATTAGTTCTTATTTTCCAAAATTTAGTTTACTAATCTTTTGGTTATTCCACTTCTTGTCTCTGTGATGTTATTTTCTCTGTAAGTACTCCCTTGTGTCTATTCCATAGATAGGTTGTTCTAAGCTATGGTTTATTAGTATCCGCAGCCTGTGCAAGGTTTTCTTCGAACCAATTGTACACAATGGATTTGGTAATGAAGCAGATTGTGCAGCCTGATTGTACCTCAAATTATTTTTAAATTTCTTTATTTCGTTTATCCAGATGGGCTAATGTCATCTTTAGACCTCCATTTGTAGTCTCTCCAATATACACGCATAGAGAATTCTTTACGCTTAATATCTTTCTACTCAATTTTTGTTAAAGTACATGTTTTGTGAAGATGAAGAACTTATCTTTAGTAAATATTAATCCAAAGCACTCGTCCATGAGCCAACTTTCATTATATAGATGAAGTTTTATAAGGACATCTTTTAAGAACTATTGTGACCATAATGAATCACTATTGTCTTGTTACTCAAAGAAGTTGGGTAATTTATAACTGATAGGCAACTTAGTAACCTGTGTTGCATGAGTTCTCTCTTAACAAGAGTTTCCGTGGTGTAATACAAATCTATGCAATTTTAGTATTTTTAACTTAAAAAAATTCTGGTTACATTTTTTTAAATATTACTTTTTAATATAAATTTTTATTTATTCTGGTTGTCAATGGTTTACGTTTTTATATTCTCCATATTTTTAAATCTCTTTTATTTATTCTCTTAAGCAGAATATAAAGTCAATATAATATAAAGACAATATATTAATAAATACAATCTTTTAGAGGTTTTGCCAGATGCCCTGTTGACCGATTGTTCAAAATGCAGTGACGCTCAGAAAAAAGGAAGCAAGAAAATAATCCGACACCTTATTGACAACAAACCTGACTGGTACACCGAATTAGAAGCTAAATATGACAAAGATGGAACATACAAGAAGAAGTATGAACAGGAAATTAAATCAGATTAGTAACAGATTAGAGTAGGTACTGAAATTGTAATCATTTTACACGTACGTAAATAAATTTTGTGATATAAATGTGAAACTAATAAAATTTTATTCGTTATTATTTTGTTTTGTTTGGGTTACCAATAAAATAATTTAAAAACTTTATTTAGTATAACCGATTTCCTTTTTCGAGGAAAAAGGCAACCAGAATATAGCCTTAAATATCGATCATGGAACAAAACATTTGGGTTTTGACATTGTTGCCATTTTTTTATAATATGTATGGTTTAATATAAGAGCTTTCAAAAATGTACATCTTGATTGTATTATTTTATGATTTCTGCATTTTTTAATTTATATAAAATAAGAACAGGTAAGTCAATATTTGTTTCTTTAAAGATACATTGCAGTTAATTATTAGAATTTTTTTAACAAGTATCCTTCTATACATTAGCGGATAGATATTGAAACCATTCCTTTATTAATTTAGAATTTATTTGAATTGTACTGTTTTCTTACTGTTTCTTTAAATTTTACAGGATGTTTCTCCACTCTCACTATTTTGCTACTTTATGTTTCTTTTTCATGTTTAATTAATTAATATATATCGTATGCTCTTTCCTGATTATATAAGAATACGGCAATACTGCCAAACTCAAATAATTTGTTCCATGTTTGACATTTGCGGCTATATTCTGGTTGCCTTCCTCTTAATGATGTTCGTTTGTTTTCATTTCATAGTTTTTGAATTATTCCTTTTCTGTAGTAAATTTGTATTATATACAATAGGGGTACAAAAAAGTCACATGTTTTGTATACCTACTTGGCTGTACAAACTATTAATAAAGAATACAAGGTGGCCTAAGGAAACAGAAAAGGAAGAAATCTAACAGTGCTAGTAAAATTAAAATAAGTATAATTAACAAAAATAAGACTATGAAAAAACTGTTAAAATCAACAGTGACCAATGCAGCTAAACATGGGTTTTAAAAAATTAAAGAAGAACAGATCTCAAATATGTATTAAGAAAAATTAGGCAAGTAAAATCACCAATAATATGTAGAAAACAAAAAAAAATAGGATTTTATAATGGGTTCCAAAAATTACCTTCTAAAGACACTTTGATGATTGTGAGTAGTTTTTTTTTGGCTTAGACTATCGTCATACAGCCAGACACAAAAGAACTAAGACAGTCATCATTATAATTATTTACCTAAATGCCCTATCAAGATAGAAGATTACATCGATATTAGGAGAACAGGGACACACTCTTCTCGCCTAGGGACCTATCAAGGCATTGATTTATATAAGACATAACAACACTAGGTCACGGAGAGGAGGAAGTTATACAAATGGTTTATAACAAAGGTAACAAGATTAACTAAATAATTTTTAGAGAATTATAATGATAATTTGCTGTCTTTTAAAAATTTTATTAAAGAGTTGTAAATATCTACAGAGCCAAGTGATAATAAATGTAGCATATTCCAAGGAGCTGCTATTTTATATTTTAATAAATCATTTATAAGTTTGGATGAGTAGACTCTGTTTTTAGAACAACCAAAAAATATATGATCTAAATCACTTTCCTCTCCACAATGCTCACATTTGTCATCATCCAAAACCTTTATTTTAAATAAGTGCTTTGGATAACATGCGTGTCCGAAACGTATTCTAATAATGGAAGTTATGTGCCTCCTGGAAGCTCTAAAAGACTTGTACCAAGGAAATTTGGGAATATCTGGCTGAATTATCGAGTATCTATTTTGGTTCACAAAAGAGTATTCCTTCCACTGGTAGCTCCACTCTCGAAGCAATGTTGACTTGCAAGAAACAATACTGTCAGAAAGCGTTACTTTATGTAAAATATCAGTATCGGTTAAAATGCTTTCTTTGGCTAATAAGTCGACATATTCATTATGTTCAAATCCTGCATGTGCTTTAATCCAGAGACAATGTACATTGATTCCTTTGGTTAAAAGAGTTTGAATAATATGTTTAATTCTATAAATGTATGGGCAGTCTTGTAAGTTTGGTGGTCCATATTTACCAATGGATTTTAACACTGCCAAGGAGTCCGACAAAATTATAATATGGGCGAAATCAACTTCAGCTACATATAATAAAGCTTCATATATTGCAATGGCCTCTGCTGTATAAATCGAAGTTTCCGGGTTTAGTTTGAATTTCTTTTCTATATGATCCGATGGTATAAAAAAAGCGCATCCGGTTCCATCTGGAGATTTAGACGCATCTGTATATAGAGCTATTGCCTCTTTGTATTTGCTTGTTATAGATAGAACAATATTTTTATTTAAATATATATTTTCACTATAATTTGGTATAATAATATCTGTATGTAAAAAGAAAGAAGAGTAATTTTTGAATATGTAGTTCGTTCTATCTATATTTTTTAAAAGTGCTATATTTTGATTATACGCTTCGCAAAGTAAGGGAGATTTCTTTTTTTGCCAATATTTATTTGTCAGGTCATGGCAATTCAAAGTGACTATCTTTTCGTATAGAGATGAGTTCAGTAAGTATACTTTCATTAAATATTTTTTGGACAAAAACCTTCATCTTATATTTAAAGGAGGTTCCAAGGCTTCCAAATATAAAGCTTGTACTGGAGTGGATCTCATGGCTCCTAAACATATTCGTAAGGCTGAGTTCTGTAAAACGTTGATTTTGTTTAGCAGTACATTAGTAGTTAAGTACATTGTGAGTAGTTGATTATGACTCGTTACACAAGATCGGTCTACTTTCTCTCAAAACGTTAGTTGTGAATCATTATTGAGTTTATAAGCAAAATATTAGGGGAGCATCGGCGATGTCATTTCAACAACATTAATGGGAATCAATTTCCTTAAATTTCTCCGCCAAACAGCTTCTTTTGCTCCTTTTATCTCCTTTAGTATAGTCTTATGCAACTTTTTGTATTCGTAGTCATTTCTACCTCTTAGTTTTCTTTGCTCTTCCTTCTTCTTCACGTGCCATCTCCTCTAAGAAGGTTGGCAACCATCATGGCAATTCGCACTTTCGACGCCGCTGCTCTAAAGAGGTCAGCAGAAGTGCAGTTAAACCAAGCTCTCAAATTATTCAACCAGGAGATGCGTCTTCTTCCGCGACTCCTTCTACCCTGTATTCTTCCTTGCATTATTAATTGCAACAAGTTATAATGCTCGCCCCTCATAACATGTCCCAGATATTGCAGTTTTCTGACTTTAACTGTATTTAAGACCTCTTTATCTTTACCCCTTCTTCTCAACACCTCGACATTCGCGACTCTATCTACCCAACTTATTCTTAATATCCTTCTGTAGGTCCATAACTCGAAGGCTTCCAATTTGTCCGAAACATCTTTCTTTAAAGTCCAAGCCTCCAACCCATAAAATAATACGGAGAACACGTAGCATCTCAGAAGTCTTATCTTTAAATAAATTAAAATGTCCCTGCTGCAAAGTACTTTTTTTCAGTTTGTTGAAAGAATTTCTTGCCTGTCCCATTCTTGCCTTAATCTCGTCTGCGTACTCATTATTTTCATTAATTAATTCGCTCTTCCATCATCTGCAATATTTTATCTGTCATCCATTCTTGCTTCTTTTTTATTTTTGATTTTAGATATTCATGCGAAATTGTGGTATTGGATGTCTTCATTTTGTTCCACTGTTCTTCTATGTGGCTAGTACTGTCGGTAACTATTTTCGCAAAATTCTTATTAATATTTATTTTTACTTTTTTTTGGATGTCATTTTCTTTTAGTAGTCTTATATCTATCTTGGACCTCATTTTCTTATAAATTATTTTAAATTGTATGTTGATATTTGCAGCCAATATACTATGACCTGAGAAGACATCTGCGCCTGGATATGTTTTTGTTTTGGTATTTGACAAATTAAGACTTGAAAAATTAGTCTAAATTAAAAAGAAAAACCAAATAGTGTCAAAAATATAATAGATTATTTCATAACAAATAGAAAAGAAATAATCGAAGTACTCAACAAATAAGGAGCGACCACAGATTAATGCGAGCTAAGATAATATTAAATGTCAAATTGGAAAAAATACAGATATCCTAAAAATGCAAGAAAAAAACAAGAAATGGATTCCCACAGAAAACAGCAATATGTACAAAGTTACACTAAACAGATATATACAAGACTTGCAAGATGAAATAGAAGATGTAGATGAAATAGATTGAAAAATTATATCACGCTTGCTTGGAGGTTGGACTAAAGATTAATATGAACAAGACGTAAATAATGAATAATCTGGTGCAAAATCGAAATATTGCTGTTGACAAAGATAGATAGAAAGTGCTGAGGGAGACCTATGTCCAGCAGTGGATGCATACAGGTTAATGACGATGATGGTGATGATGATGACTGGAATCAAAGAACACAAATTGTAATAGATAACGAACCCAGATCAGAAATTGAAATCAGGAGAAGAGCTAGGCAAGTATGTATTATGTCTCCGTTACTATTCAATGTACAGGGTTACGCAATTGAACTGTTACCAACTTCACATCGATATATCTGGCAAACCGATAATGACAGCTACGTCAAAGTTAGCCTGATAACAATTTAGTTTGTTTATAAGCCGGTAAAAGCATTTGCATGTTTTATACATACAACAAAAGTTGTTCGCAATGGAATTTAAACGTAATAGTGTGATTGCGTTATATTTGGCTGGAAAATCGCAACCATCTATTGTTCATCAGCTCAAACACCTCAAAGTGAATAAAATGTTTGTGTATCGCACCATAACTCGTTATAATGATACTGGTAGCATTGCCAAATGCTATGGTGGCAGACAAAAAAAAACATTAACATCACCTGAAATAGTTCGGAAAGTGAAGGCTCGACTTGAGTGAAATCTACGTCGTTGTGGTAATCAAATTGTCAAAGAACTGAAAATATCCCAGCGAAGCATGCAACGAATATTAAAAAAGGAGCTCAAGGTCAAGCCTTATAAGTTTCAAAAAGCACACAATCTTACGCCAAAGCAAAAAAAAGTTCGGCTTGAAAGAGCAAAGGAGTTGCTCATAGTGTTCTCTGATAAGAAAAATTTCCCTATTGAGCAGTTCATAAACTCTTAAAATGATCGTGTTTC